ACTTTCTGGATGTAAGGATTTCAAACTTGAAATTAAGGTGACCAACAGACAGTTACAGTGACTGAGACTGTTTCAGTATCCACAGGGCTCACTGAATGACTGAATAATGGTGGTGAGAAAGGGAAGAATTGAGGGTGACCCCAAAAGCAAACCTTACATGTTTACTACGCTGCTGGATGTGAATTACATATGTTATGGGTACAAAATTGACTGCCTCAGGCCTACGAGGATCTGTGCTGCTCCCTTGGTGGGGGTCTTGATTACTTTTTTCTCGTTACTGAGTCAAGATACCTGATGCCTACAGTTAAAGAGAGAAAGGTTTATTTAGTTCACAGTTTGTGGAGGTTTCAGTCCATACTTGGCTGGTGCCAAGGCACAGTGGCACATGGCAGAAGACAGCAGTTCTTGGCAACAGAAAACAGCAAAAGCAAAGAAAAGGGAGGAGTGCAAGAGAAGACTCTTTCTGTCCGTATATTGTGTAGGTTACTCACCCTAGGTGGGTGTAGCACTCACACCCATAATCCCAGCACTAGACAAATAACTCAGTCACAAATTCTAGATTCAGCCACCTCCGAAAAGCCTGCCTCCCGTGATCACGTGAAGCACTGGGGGGACATCCCAACACAAGCCGTAGCAGTGGGTGCCCTAGTTGGTCTACTGTTTTTCTACCTTGTTTGAATGCCCTGTAGGTTTGTGCCCTGGGGGTGCTTGTAAGTGCTATGGGCCATGCTGTGGGGCCTCATCCACACTGGGTGGGGTCAGAGGGAACTTGACAGTGTTCCGGAGTGCAGATGAGCGGGCACAGGTCCTGTTGATTGCGTGAGGCGCACGGTTGTTAATGTTGTGAACTTAGCATCCTCACTGGGCGGCTATGAAAATAATCACAAGAGCCTGGCTCTGGAGGCTCCTGGGGCTGGCTGCCATTCCTCTTGGGAGACGATTCTCCGTAGCTCTCCTGTATTTCTGCGTGAGAGGCAGTGGCTGCGTTGTTCTGCACTGGCTTTTCACGGATATTTGTCAGATGAGCAGCCTGGAGAGGTAGAGCCAGTCTCCTAGTGCACAGACCATTTTTTTCAGCACTGGGACAACCCAGGCCTCATGCATGCTAGGCAAGTGCAAAATATTGTCACTTACTCCTTGCTTATTTAGACGCTCTCCCTCCCTCCCTTCCATCCCTTCTCTTCTCCCTTCTCCCTATCCCTCCTTCCCTTCTTTCCTTCCTTTTTTCTTTTTTTCTTGTTTAGTTGGTTGATTAAAACTTACAGTACTGTGTTGAATGAAGCGGTGAGAGAGTGCATCCTTGGCTTATTCCTGAGCTTTGAAGAACTTTCAACATTTTACCATTGAGTGAAGTAGCTGTGAGCTTTCCATTATGTGGCTTTTCTTGAGAAACACTGAGATACATTCCTTCTGTGCTCAATTTACTGAAACGTTTAATATGAAAACATGTTGAATTTTGTCAAATATTTTTTCTACATCTGTTGATATGATCATACATTTTGGGGCTTAATTCTGCTGATATGCTAATAACTGTGTATGTTTACTGATTTATGTATATTGAAACATCCTTGCATCCCAGGAATAATTCTCACTTGATTATGTTGAATGATGTTTTAAAAAGTGCTGTTGCAATAACTAAATCCAGGAAGCTGCTTGATTACCCAGCAACAGATGACTGGATAAAGGAGATGTGGTATCTGTCTATAATGGAACACTAATCAGCTGGAAAGAATGATAAATTTGGAGCATTTGTAGGAAAATGGATCCACCTTGAAAATATAATTTTTCTTTTAAATTTTAAAAATAAAAGGAGGAAAACATTAACAGACAGACAACATTTTACAAAATAGCAAAAGAATAGTACAGACAATACGGAGTTACAAAGTGGTAGGGAATTCACAATGCTTGTTGTATTACATATTGATATCTTCAAAGTGGTTTCTCATGAAAACAGATAGAGACATGCAGTACTAATCAACCAAGGACTCACTGACAGTTTCTTTCAGCAAAGAAATAGAAGACAGTAGAACAGCCATGTTAACTATTGGAAAATGTAATAATGTTGAGTGAAGTAAACTAGACACACAGCTTAAATACTGGAAGGTATCTTTCATTTGAGTGAGCCAAAGTACAAACAAAGAAAATGAGAAAAGACTGACAGAAAGGGCAAGGGGACAGGTGCCTTGCAGTAGGGAAGTGGTCCAAGGGCACAAGGGCTAGGCGTGAGGAGGGGGGGAAGAGGAAATAAAAAGAATAAAGATGTGCCATGTATTAGAACCTAATAGGCCCAATTAGTGTAAGCACTATATGTCACAGCATGAGCTAAGACAAGTAACCAGTGTGAACAAAGGGACTAGCGAAGCAGAGGGGAAGGGGTGAGGGGGAGGCAAGGGGAATGGGATTTAAAAAATAAGAAGCTGTAATGTGTACACGTAAGCACTCCCCAAGATGACGGCGAACTGCACGCACTAGTAAATGCGTGTACAGATGCTACATAAATAAATAAAATGCTGTTGAATTCCATTTACTTACACAGATGGAGTATTCCTTTTCCAAAAGAGAAGTGTCTCAAAGTTGAAGGTTTTTCAGATTTTAGAATAAGCTGAAAGTTTAGATTTAGTAGCATTTTCAATTTTGACTCTTTGGATTAAGAATTTCAACCTGTACTTTGTTGAGGATTTTTTGCATCTATGTTCACAGGGATATTTAGCCTGTAGTTTTCTTTTTCTTTAGAGTCCTTGTCTGACTTTATTGTCAGTATAATATTGGCTCCCTAAAATGAATTTTGAAGTATTTCCTAACTTAACTTTTTGAAAACTGTAAAAAAGATTAGAATAATTATTTGAATATTTGGTAGAATAATTCATCCATGAGCCCATTTGGTTCTGTGCTTTTCTTTTCTTTCTTTCTTTTTTTTGAAAGATTTTGATTACTAATTCAATCTCATTACTAGTATGTTCAGGTTTTCTGTTTCTTTGGTAGTTGTGTGTTTCTATCAATTTATCCATTTCGTCTCATTTTTCCAATTTGTTGATGTATAATTGTATAGTGGGCTCTAACTTCTACTATTTTGATTTTCTATAGTTCTGTACTGACAATATTTGTTTGACTTTATCCATATATTTGTGGCTTTATGCATTCATCTTTCCCTCTTGTGCAGATTTCAGTTTGGAATCATTTTTCCTCCTTTCAGTGTATCCTTTAGAAATTCCTTTAGAGGGGGGATTTAGTTCAATGGCACAGCACCTGCCTGGCAAGCGCAAGGTCGTGAGTTCAATTCCCGGTACCGGAAAAAAAAACAAAACAACAAAAAAAAGAAATTCCTTTAGAACAGATATCTTTGTGGTAACTGACTTGTAGATGTTTCAGTTTTCTTTCTTGAAGGATAATTTTTCTGGGTGCATAATTCTACACTGATGATTATTTTCTTTCTCTTAGTCCTTTCTTGGCTTTGCTTCTATTTTTCTTATAATGAGTCTGCAGTCACTTTTTTTTACATTAATGATTAAATTAATTAAATCAAATTAAAATGATCCCAAATAATAGATGATTGTGTCCTTTACCAGTGTTCACCCTCAGGAATCTGTCTTTGGTTTGCTGTAATTTCATTACAATGTGTATGGTTATGAATTATTTCTGCTTATCTTATGTTGGTAGATTTATTCTGTGCTTACTGGATCTGTGAATCCACACATTCTCCTAGTTCTGAAAAATTCTCAGCCATTGTCTTTTAAAATATTTCTTCTTCCTCATAATTTTATTTTCTCCTTCTGGAACTCTAATTTGACATATGCTAGATCAGAAACTGACAAAAATGTTCAGAAAAGGCCATTTTTAGGCTTCACAGGCCATGTGTGATCTGTATCACATATTTGTTGCTTTTTAAGACTACAGAACCATTCTTTGCTTGCTGAAAAATAGCAAAACCATATGCTAGACTTTTTTCTCTTCTTCATGGTTCTTAATCACTCGTATTTTTATGTCCTAATCTCTTTGCAGCATTTATTATAAAGTATTTCCTCCTGGTTGACTAATCCTTTCTTCAGCTCTTTTTAATGCTTGATAGCTTATTCACTGAGTTAAACAATTGTATATTTTTATTCTAGATGTTCCTTTTTAAACATCTTGTTTGCTGGTGGTCAGATATCTCCACTGGCTGGGAATGATTTGTCCTCTTTCTCTCTCTAAGAATTTGTGGTCAGATCAGAAGTGTCAGACATGGCTTTTGCATCTTACTCCTGTTCCTAGGTTTACTCTTCCTCTTGCTGTTGTCATAGAAGTGCGAGCTCAGGGCCGCCTGCCCTATCCTCCCTTCCTGGACGCCAGCTTCCGCAGCTTGCTCTTTGGGCTCGCACTGCTCTAATCTAGCTCCTACTCTGTACCTAACTCTGGCATACCCTGGACCACCCTGGCCCAAGCTTCTAGTCGCTGTCATCCTGTTTCCAAAGCCCAAGGCCTCTGGCTCCAATGAACTCCAAGCTCAACTCACATTTACATGTTTGTTTTTGTGGGCACAGGTCATTGGAGATCTGTGCCAGGATGTGTGAGCACAGAACTAATGCAAAAACTGTACTGCAGCTAAGAAACAATTGCTTTGAACCTGGCTGGTTCTTTGAAGCTTCTAATTATTTTTATTGTCAGAAGCATACATCCATGTCATCCATATTCAGAAAAGAGTACTTCTGAAAGTCTTTTTATTATAAGACACACTGCACTAAGGATGAGTGACAAAACGTATTCAAGTATTTTTTCCATATATGCTTCATAGAATATTGCTCTCGAAACTCTTGTTTTGGAATTATTTTACTTATTTTACTTTCTGTGTTTTTAAAAATACACCAATGCTTTTTGACATTGCCATTAATAAGGTAATCAACATTGGAGAACTAATGGGCAACATTGTATTAATTTGTGAACATCACTCTATACCAGCAAGAATTTGATATTTGATGTAGAAACCATTACATATGTGATAAATGTGTTTATTTTTCTTAATTTAGGAAAATGTCTGACCAAGACGAACAGTTGGATATTAGAGATATAGTTGATTCCACAGAAGGAAGCGAGAATGCTGTTGACATCATCAATATCCCACTTCCCTCAGAAGCACTGGAAGAGTCAGAACCAACTGAAGAAAATATATCTGAAGTAGAACAGTTCAGTATGGGTCCTGAAACACCTGAAGAGCAAAGTGACCAGAGTGTGACAAATGAGGAATCCAGCGAGGAACAGCTCCTGGAAGAGGCTCTGTCCTCAAGACAGGCTTCCGGGTCTGTGAGCCCCAAGGAAGAGCAGCATTCAGTGGAGTCTGACAAAGAGAATCTCAGTAACGAAAGTCTGGCTTTTCTGGATAAAATAAGGGCTCTAAGGCAGTCGTTGCAAATATCAATTAAAGATCCTTCGGCAACAGGTATTAGAAAAGATAGGATATTTTATTTTCCCTTTTTAGCAAAATGGATGCTTTTTTTTGGATTTTTTTTCTGGTATATTTTTATTTGAAGATATATTTTATATCTGATACTATTTTACTTTTCCCTTATTCACCAGACTTCTGTGGTGACAACATTTGAATCTATTCAATATCTGTGAAAAATTCTGTCCTACACTGTGTATTCTTCCTCAATAAATGAGCATCATTAAATTTTAATTTCATATTTGTATATTTTTTTTCAAAAAAGTAGCCTTTAAAATTGCTCGGGGACCTTGGGAAAGGGTGGACAAATGCTTCTGTATAATTGGAGTCCTCTGCATGCCACTTTGGAATTAACTGTTGCACACAGCTAGCAAGAAGTGGGGTGAGAACCTGAGCCCTGACTTTTCCAGTTTTACATCTTAGTGGTCTGTTCCACTAAGCAAGTTGCTTTCACGTATGGCTGTAGTGTGCTTTGTGTTAACTGCATATTTAGCTTTGGAAAAACTGTAGTCTTTCGTTGTAGATCAGTTTTAAAGACATTCACCAAATAACCCTGATGGTGCATAGTGGTTACTATTGTGTTCCTGTTTACGAAGAAGGGGCCGGGTGTGGTGGTGCACACCTGTAATCCCAGCACTCGGGGGAGGCTGAGGCAGGAGGATCGTTGTGAGTTCGAGGCCAGCCTGGGCTACACAGTGAGTTCAAGGCCAGCCTGAATTGCACAGCGAGATCCTGTCTCAAAAAGACCAAAAAAAAAAAAAAAAAAAAAAAAAAAAAAAAAAAAAAAAAAACCAAAGAAGGGGAAGTAGGAATAAAGTGTTTACACAGAAAGCCATTAATTCACCATTCCATTTCCTCCTTATTTATGAATTTTAAGACAGTTTCCGGCAATAGGGTGGAGAACATGGGCTATTATTTAACAAAAGTAGCAGCAGCATATTTTGGCTTGTCAAAAATAGTTTCTGAACACAGTGGGTAGTTTATTTTTGGGTGATGTGTCCACAAAAGTAAAGAATGAAACTGTGGGGCTGGGGATATAGCTCAGCTGTGCACCACCTGCAAGGTGGTGAGTTCGATTCCTGGTATCAAAAAAAAAAAAAAAGAATGAAAAGGAAAAACAGAAAACTAAGCCAATTATATCTGACAGAACAAAGTATTTCTCAATTTCATTAGTTACTGTAAATTTGGGTTTAAGTTTGAATATTTTTGTAATTCCCTGATATTATAACTTATAACAAACACATGATAATTACAAAAAATTGTTTTGGTCCTGTAAGTCCTGAGTTTGAAAAATCCCTTAACATACGCCTCTCTGAATGCTCAAGAGGACACTACTAAGGAAGGTTTAAAATCTGTTAATTATAGGTTTTTGTATTCATGAAACAATCACAACAGTCTTCTGATAATGTTTAGCATCTGAAAGTATTGTCTTTGCTTCTATAGAACTATTAGGACAGATTTTAGTAAGCTCAAAGTACCTTAATATTACTAATGCCTAGGTAAGTTTTGTCATAGGGTTATTTATTGATAAATGTCTCATTTAGCTTTATGAAAAACTGATGTCTGACATCTAGAAATACACATACTCTTTTCATATAATATGAATTCTATACTTCGTCTTATTAAATCCTATTAAAATTTAAAGTTTAGAGATATAGAAGAAAAAAGTTGACTGCATATTAATTAGGGCTTAAGTGATATATTCTTTCTCATAGCTTTTGAACAATCATTTTCTGATAACATTTTTTGTATTTAAAATTAAGCATCCTGACCTCCCGCTTTGTGGACTGGAGTGTGAGTCACACAGTGCCAATGTTTGTGAAAAATAGTTGTGGTGGGTGAGTGAGCCATATAGTAGCCATTTCTTTGAAAAGTAGTTGCAGTGCATTCTAACTTCATGGGGCTTACAACCCAAAAATGTCTGATTTTTTGAGATGTTCCTAGGCTTCCATCAGGATAATATGTACCAGCTGTTGAACAAGGATGAACATTTTTGATATTATAGGTGATCAATTTTTTGAGCCAAAGTTTTTAAGTCATCGTTGGCCATTTCTCCTATATGACTGGGTGTGGTGGAGAAGCAGCCTGTGTTCCATATGATTAGAAAGGGGCCCAGAATTTCGCTTCTGTTTGTGGAGTATCAGTGGTTACCCCAGCTATATTTGATTATGATTATTTTTTTCTTTTTTTCTCAACAGTAAAAATTGTACTTATTCCTGTGGGTCAGGAAATTATAATGTCTTTTAAAGTTGACACCTTTTTTAAATACCTTGTGGATCACATTGCACGTTTATTAGGTATCCCACCTTCTGAATTGCAGATAAGTCATGCAGGTAAGTTTGAGGGTAATGAATTTATTAAGTCATCTCTAGTTTTAACATGTAAACAATATCTTTGATTTCTTTAACAATATCTTGATATTTACTATTTCAGTATATTATGATTATGCATTCATTTGTTTAAAAGATTTTTAATGATGAATTTGTATGACATATTTGGCTAATAACTGAAAGCACAAAGAAACATGAAATGAGATTCTTATTCTCAAGTTGTCCATAGACTAGTAAAAAAGAATTGCATGTGGCAGTTACTACGTAATGTGTAAATACTTCAGTGAAAGTATGCACAAAAATCTATGAGAATGGGATAAAGGGACATAGAGACTTTAGGTTTCCCTTCCTTCCTTCTTTCCTTCTTCCTTCCTTCTTTCCTTCTTTCCTCCCTCTCTCTTCCTTCCTTCCTTCCTTCCTTCCTTCCTTTCTCCCTCCCTTCTTCCCTCCCTCCCTCCCTTCCTTCTTTCCTTCCTTTCTTCCTTCCTTCCTTCTTTTCTCCCTCCCTTCTTCCCTCCCTTCTTCCCTCCCTCCCTTCCTTCTTTCCTTCCTTCCTTCCTTCCTTCCTTGCTTCCTTCCCTGGGGAGGAAGCCTAGGGCCTCATGCATGCTAGGGAAGAACTGTTGCACTGTGCTACATCCCCAGCCCCTGAAAATATTGTGTTTTCTATATATTAAGGTCCTTTCCACGTTGCTAGGTTTATTTCTATTTTGTGGATGATATTGAAAAGCCTCACAAAAGTTATGTTATCCTTGTTTCATGATTGGATATAGTTTTTGTGATAGTTATACCAGATTAGTATATGTTTCTATCAAATATGTGTGAACAACTCCTAATATTTTGTTTCAAGAGCTTTGGTATTGCCTTATAAAGTTTCCAGAGAAAAACAATTCAATTGAAATATTGCTTTAAAAATCCATTATAGTGAATGTAATACTCACAAAGTAAAATATGTTCAAATAACTGATTAGAGTTTGATTAAGTAAACAGGATATATTTTAAATAATTATTAGGAAAAAATAATGATAAGGATGGTGATCATGATGATTGGTTTATTGAATCCTTACTATGTGTTAGTACTTCTACAAAGTATTTTGCCTACATTATCATTTAATGCACACACCGATCTTTTGAGATAGGTACTACTATTGACCTTTTTTTGAGAGAAAACAAAACAGGGAAGTTTGCTAAAGTCACAAAGTGATAAGTTGCAGAGTCTGAACTGAAACAGGGTATGACTCTAAAGAGCAAATTTGAAATCGCTTGTGGTTATCAGAGGGAAAGTTCACAGTTGAAGAGGAAGAGCACTTAGAGACCGGGGCTCATGACCATACTTACCGGTCTCTCTGTCCGCGTACTTGTACTCCACGACTTTCTGTCTTTCTGAGCACCAGGTGTCATCGCTGGGTGACAAGGGATGCCAGCAGCAAGGACAGAAGAGCTAGATTTTATACTAGCTGTTCTCTAAGATAGGTGGCTTCTTCTGGGACTGGGACTGGAGTCTGTTTGGTGGGATTCTGCCCACTGTGGAAACAAGCAGAAAAAGGAAGAGCGCTCTGGGAACCTGTATTGATTTCCTATGGCTGCTGTAATATCATGAACTTAGTGGCTTCATTAAAGCAGCGCATGCGTTTTGCTTGCTTCTGGAGGCCAGAAACACTCACTCAGTTCCCAGGGTGTCCAGGGCTGCTGTCCCCTGGAGACTGAAGGGGAGATGCCAGTTCCTAGCCATCCAGCCGTCCGAGCTGCATTCCCAGCACGTACTGACCCATTGTCCTCTTCTCCGTCTTCGGAGTCACGGAGTGGCACACTCAGGTCTCCTTGATTCTGTCCCACTGCCTTCTCTCTAGGATCAAATTTTGGTCTTCCGTCCTCTAATAAGGGTACCTGCGATTGCATGTAGGGCCCACCCAGAGAGCTCGGATGATCGCTTTGCCTCAGAACCCTGTAAAATCCCTTTTGCCTGCATAAGGGAGCATTCTCAGGAATGGGATATGGATGCATTTGGGGGCCATTATTCAACAATCACCAAGTCTACAGAAATTCATATTTATTTTTAAAGTTAAGAATATAGGGTATGACATTGATGCTCAAAGACCTTGGAATGTGCTTTCCTGGATATAGCCAAAACAGATGACAGGCGTTTGATATGTCTTATGAGTATGATTATTGCTGTGTTCAAATTTCTAATTGTAATTGAGGAAGACTGTACATTTGAAGACTGATATAGAGCCCATCAGTAAAGTTTCCATGACACAAAACAACAGCCAGCGACATTATTGCACTTTCATATGACTTAAAACAGAGAAAGAGAGTTAACTTAGTGAATACACCTATGGTAGGATGGAGCCAGGCAAAGGGCACAAGAAGAAGAAGAAATAAAGTGATACACACTTTCTCCAGCATAAAACTGGGTTTCACCCTCATTTTGGCATTTATTAATTTTTGTGAATTTCTGGTTATGGAAAGAGAAAAAGGAAGGAATTTTGTGGAATTTTGAGTCTATGCTTTTAACCCTAGGGTAGAAAGGGTTTTATAATAATCCATATAGATATGTCCCATATTTACAAATTGCACATTGTGGTTTTCAGTAGTGTCAAGGTTTAATACATGATCCTGTTCAGACTATAGAATGTTTTTATTTTTAAATGTTTCATGGTTATTCTATGCTTGTACATCTAAAGAATTCAGAGTTGTAGCTTTGAGCTTCTTTCTAGTAGTTATTCATAAAATACATAGTACATTATAGTACTCTCTTATAGAGTTTTCTGTTCTAACATTAAAGCAAGAGGCAGAAATCATTAATTATGTATTTAATAATTAAATGATATGTGTTCCTATAAACATCTTTGGTAATTTATATCACATTAAAATGAGTTTACCTTGTTATATATTTCTAATGACTGTTGTGATTATGGTGACTATGGCTAGTAACAATATATTGCATACTTGAAAATTGCTGAGAGGAGATTTTAAGTGTTCTCACCACAAAATGATAAATATTTGAAGTAATGAATATGTTAATGAGCTTGATTTGCTTTATTTTACAATGTGTACGTATATCCAAACATTATGTTGTACATTTTAAGTACATAGAATTTTATGTCTCCATTAAAGACACCAACAAAAGACACAGCAATTTCTTCACTATAAAATTTAAAATTTTCATTTTTAGGTAAAATTCTCAAAAACAATGAGACTCTCATACAACATGGAATTAAGCCACAGCAAAGTGTACAAGTGGAAATCTCTTCTCTAAATCCAGATCTGTATCCAATCAAAAGAATAGCTACATTAAATGATGTCTCTCATATCATAACTGTCATTATACAAACTGGTGAGTTGTTTAATGTCTCTTAGATAAGGTATTTCAAGTGTATTTGCAGTTGGACTTCCATTTAGCTTTGGCTTTTTCTCCTTAGGCATTGATCAGTTCCAGGAGGTAGCTGTTGAAATTGTACAATCTGACTTTCACAAGCCATTCCTGGGTGGATTTAGACATAAAGTAACAGGAATAGAATATCACAATGCTGGAACACAAACTGTACCTAAAAAGATTCCTGAAAAGTTTAATGTATTTTGTAGGGACACACAGGTAATATAGTAATATTTTTATTTTCCATTTAGGCTCTTAAAGCTGTAGAATTAATAACTTCTATGCTATATGACTCTCAAATAAAAATTTCTAGTTAGTTACATGACAATACATATAGTAAGAAAAAATTAACTTGAATGTGTAGAAAAATTTTCTTTCCATATATGTGTATGTGCACATATGTGTGTAGAGTGAAAACTATATACAGTGAAGACTTACTTAATTTTTTGTTTTTATTTTAGACAGTCCTTCAGAGAAAGAAGATCCAACAAACTACAAATACAACATCCACACAAATGACTAAAATTGGTGTGTATGTATCAAACATGACTGATAAACTTGTAACACCAGGAAAATATTTTTCAGCAGCAGAATACCATGCTCAAAGACTGAAGGCGGTAAGATAACTTTTGTTATGGGCAAATACCAAAACTCAGTTGTTCTCTGTGTGTTTTCCTAAACCACACTAGCTTAAGAAAGAACCCATATGGATGTGCATTACTTTTCATGTGTGCTAAATGAAGTCTTTATCTATAATATCCTTCTGTGACAGCAACCAGAATCCTAAACGTTCCTAACCCTTCGTTTTTTCTTAAGACATCTGAAGCATCTCATGTGTTGCCCTTGGCCGAGTTATTACTAATCTTACTGATTTTTACTGATTATTATCCTTAACACTTTTGTCTCTTGGCTTCAATCCTTGTCAGAGCAGAATTATGCAGGGACCTTTCCTGACTAATTACAACGAAACAGGACAGCAAAGTCTATTTTCTCTGATACTAGTATAGTTTCTAACTCTATTTTATCATTTGCATAGTTTATATATTTTTTCATCTGTTTATTTCCAATCTCTTTGATCTCCTGTAGGAAGCTTAGTTCGATCTACCTTCTAGCATTATTTTTTTATGAGTAAAAATAACCTCAAAGAAGGTGTTTAAATAAGATTTTCTTTTCCAAGTGAGAGGAAGTTTGGAGCTAACCTGTTGTTCTAATGAGATCAGCCCAAGACTTTGAGAGATGAAGCTGCAGTTCAAAGTCAGGTTCACAGATTCTCTGCTTGAAGGAAACTGCACACAGGGTAACCACAGATTTAGCCTCTCATCAGACTTTATCAGTGCATTATTTCAGCAGATGAAGCTTTCCTTTTTTTAGTGTAAACTTATTTTCACTAAACAAAGGAAAAACAGAGTTAGTATAGAGTTTGGAGGGAGCAAAATTTAGGTGGGATTTAAGTGAGGGAGTCTCTTGCTATTCTCAGTGCAAAAGTGTGCCTAAAGGGTCAGCCTCCAGGTGCAGTAGCCTGCAGAGTGGGCCAGGGCCTGCTCCCTCGGCAGCACACAGTTAATAGACTTGTAGAGTGCTGTTTCTTCTCTGAAGCTCTCTCAGCTTCATCACCTGGTTTGTAAATCAAGGCTGCTTCTCCCTGTCAAAGTGACTTAGATCCGCTTGGCAAGAGTGGGATGTTTCATTCTTGCTGATCTGATTTTAAACGGCAGAGTTTCTTCCACTTTATGATTTTAGAGAACAGTTTCTCAGGGAGTAGGAAAGTAGTAGCCACTCAGAGAAAAGGATTGCTATGACATTTATAGCTACAGCGGGTCCTCGGGAGAAAGACTGTTGCCTGTTAACTTTGTTGCTCATTCTGTTAGGGCCCGTTATTCCAGACTGACAGTTTCTCTAATTTCTTGGTCCAAACTAATTCTTACTTAAGTGCTGTACTGGGTTTGGATGGTGGTTTTACAATATCGTCAGGAGCCTTGGCTCAACTCTCCTCATCTCATCCTGAGTTGCTGTGTGACGTGGTGGAATCAGTTGCCTGGTGCTCATCACTATGCTGCATTCTGTGCAGGGAGCAGTGAAAAGTCAGGGGTGCAGGTCCCACGTTCGCCATCTTCAAGGGTTTCTCCTGAAAGCCTCACCCAGTGACTTTCAATTGCATCTCACTGGCCTAAAGTGTGTCATGTGACTATCACTATGGCAAGAGTGTGTGAGAAATGCATTTTTAAAGAAGCACGATGCTTCTCAAGAAAGTTGAAATTTTCTTTGTAAGAGGAAGTAGAAGAGACAGGATGTGAGGTAGAGAAATAGAACGCTCTATGCCACTTTGCAAGTCCAGTAAAATGATATTAAAGGAATAGAAAAGTATAAACATGCAGGGACAAAAAGTGCATGAGAAGAGAGAAGAGTAAAGGATTTTTTTTTTGAAATCATAAAGCAGATGGAGAAGTGCTGACTTACTGGAGCAGAGAGAGGGACAATCTAACTGCCTGCCAAAGGTGGTGGCATCAGGAACCACGTAGATGTGCCCTGTGGAATCTTGGGAAGTGAGTTGGAGCCTCCATGGGAGGTGGGAGTGAGGAGTGAGGAAAGAGGGAGCAGTTAGAAGCCGGGGTAAGGAGTGAGGTTCTGTTTTAGAAGTTCCTTTATCTTCAGAAGTTATCTTTCTATGAGGGCCCAGTTTATTTTATTCTTTAGTTTCTAGAGTTCAAGACTTAGTGTATATTTAAGCATTTCTCATATTAGACCAAGTGGTGTTATGTATGCCTGCTGGTATTTTCACTCATCCTTAGTATCTCATCTGGTGAATTTACTAATCATTCTGGTTTATCCTTTACTGATCTTTCCTTCCTTTTGCATTTCATTAAATAAATAAACTTCTTCCTCTTTTGTTCTTTTATTAGTCAGAAGTAAGTAATCTGTATTTTTTAGTAATTACTAATAAAACTTTTAAAAAACACATCTAATTGTTTTATGGCAAATATGTATATAATAAGGCTATACGTCTTCTCGGTGAGTGGGTAAAGAGCTGTAATAGGCCTGTCTTCAGAGTCTTTCTTCCCTCATTCCTCCCCTCAGGATTTGATCTTTACTCTGCAGTTACAATGTCAGACCTTTGGTTTTACATATATTTACATTGATATATGTGATTTCTTCAAATAAAATGCATTTAGCTTAGTGGGTTTTTTCAATTTTTTTTATTCACTGCTCTAAACTCCCCCCTAGAATTTATTAATTTTGCTGAGATGTATTTCCTAGTAATTCTTTTGAAGATCATGCAGAAAGTAAATAGTCTAAGTCTTTATTCAGTAAACTAAAATACCTTTTTAGTGTGAGTAGGTATAAAAGGTTTATTTGATAAGTTTATTCAATAAACTAAAATAAATTTTTAGTTTGAGTAGGTAAAAAGGTTAGATTCAGACTTATTTCCAGAATTATTTTCCTTCATAACTTTGAAGCTCCATTTTATTAAAAGTCTGATATCAGTTTGATTCTTATTTTTTGTTTCTTCTCTTTTTGGTCTTTTTTTGATGCAAGCTCTCGCTATGCAGTTCAGGCTGGCCTTGAGCTCTGTTGGTCTCAAACTCACAACGATTCTCCTGCCTCAGCCTCCTGAGTGCTAGGATTGCAGGTGTGCGCCACCACGCCCGGCTGTTTCTTCTTTTTAGAACTTTTGGTCTTTTCACTTTATCCTTGGCATTTTGTGATATTACTATGATGCACTGTGACTTGGTAATGGACTCCTTCTGTCTGAGCGCCTGTCTATCTCCCTTTGGAAAAGGTTCTTGTGTTATGTTTTGAGTAATTTAGTACCCAACTTCCTGCATTCTCTTTGGAGTGTCCAGATTCAGTCATATTTTAGAATGTCTGAATTTATTGTTCACATCCCTTATTTTCTTTCATTCTGTCTGATTTTTATGACCTTTCTGTTTGCACTGTAAAAGATTTTCTCACAGGAGTTTTCCTTCATAGGCCTTGTACATGCTCCCAGTGAGACTGTAACAAGGTCCTAGTTCTCTGTTAAAGTTCATTTTCCCCTTCTCCTGTTGTGGTAATGTTCTCTGGGCCACCCATGCAAGACTGCATTTCCGACCCTTCCTTGTCAGGAGCTCTGGACTGTGAGGAGCAAGGGGCAGGGGTGTGAGACACTGCCGGGTGTTGCTTGTAAAGTGGCCTTCGTCCCTTCCCCATCCCCCTGGCTGGATGATGATAAGCGGACCAGCCAAGCAGACAAATCAGTAGGATGAAATTTGTCATCTGTGGCAGAACTTTTCTCCCAGCTCCAAACTGCTTGCCAGTAGTCCCTAGTGTTGTGTGAGAAGGGGAAAATTTGTTATTTAAATATGTTTCGGTGTATTTAAGTTTAACAAATTCAATAGCACTGAAGCTAATATATATTACTTTTTAAATTTCAAAAATAAACATTATGATGCATTTTTTGTTGTTAACTTTTTACAAATGATTGTTTTGTCTGATAGCCTTTTCTCTAAAAATGTTAATTACATCTAGTCTGGTTTATTTTACTTTAGTATAGTGGTTTTAAAGCCCTAGCCTCATTGTCTTGGAGAGCTTGTTAATGCACAGGATTTGGGGGTCCACACCTGCTTCTAATTCATCAGCTCTGGCACGGGTCCTGAGAGTTTGCACAGCTGGTAATTTTCCAGATAATGCTTATATTGCTGCACAGGCCACTACCCTTTGAGAACCACTATTCTAGTACTGTAGTTCTCTTTCAAGCAAGTGTAAGTTCTTCGCTTTGTTGGATGAGGGACGTTTTGTTTTGTTGTTACTTGTCAAATATTTGTTCTTTGTAGGTGTGTGCTTAGAAAATTTGAGATTCTTAATGTCCATTGTGCTAATCCGATGGTTGTAGGATGCCATGCTTGATTTGGGGAGGGATCTACTTTCTGAATAAGCGGTTTCTATCCATCCTCAGGATCACCTGGCCTTCTGGGTCACTGAGCAGTCTTCCCTAGGCACAGATGTTCTGTTGCTGTTCCCTATGTTGTTTTAGAGGAACCTGTCTCTTTTACTTATTGATTGATTCATGATTGATTGGTTGATTGAGTGAGGTACTGGGGACTCAGTGGAAGGCCTTCACACTGAGCTACATACACACCTCTTTTTTAATTTATTTTGAGACAGGGTCTGGATAAATTGCTAAGTTGCTCAAGGCTGGGCTCAAACTGCAATCTCCTCCCTCAGCCTCCCAGAGTGCTAGAATACAGGCATGCACTACCAGGCTTGGTGCCCTTTTGCGTTTTCCAAGCAGTTACCTTGATAGCATCCCTTCTGCCCAGAGTATCCACCAGTTTGTGGCTTACACCAGTCTGGGAGCCATTTCTATTTTTAGCTTGCCATCCCAGTGACAATTAGGCTGTAAATTTCTTCTTCAGTTTATTTTATGTGACTCTTTTCTAGAAGAGATTTCCCAAAACTCTATTCCCAACTTCTCCTCACATATTGTTCTCTAATTATTAGATATTAGGATGAGGGAGAGCAGTGTGTCAACATCTGTCCTATCCTCAGTCTTGGTGCAGCCTCTCCATATTTATTTGTGAGTTTAATAGATAAAAAGACAGGCTGTCAGGTACCTCATGAGCTTTATGAGGGTTTATACTCTACCAATTTAATACTTATCTGCTGAAATGTCTCTTTTACTCAACCTGTCACACACCTACATACTATGTATTTAAGACATACTATTTTGTTTTAAATATATGCCTAAGCTAATGGGAATGAAGATACACTAGAGATAATTATGATTCATAATTAAGATTCATAAGACTTGTATGTTAGGTTAAACACTTTATTTTGTACATACTATTATCACTATTTTACAGAGGAGGGCACTCAACAGAGAGATCGCACCTTATGCCAAATCATACCCCTTTTGGGGAGAGGGAAAACGTAAACTAAGTTGTACTCCATAACCTGTACTTAAATGTATTAACAGCCTCTATGAAGATGCATGTGCTAGATTTCAAAGACAAAGAGCTGCAGTGTGCATCACCTCTGGTTTTCATGTTAGCATCTGTAAGAAACCTGCCATGGAGCTAAAACAAGACTCTCATTACTGTTTTGTTGTTGTTGAGCTGGAAGCAAAGTAATCATTGCTGCCTTCTTTATCACCCGATCACCAAGTTGACAGCGACACTTTTTGTTTCCTTTTCATTTAACACAGGTGATAGTAATACAAACCTACTATAGGCGATGGCATGCTAAAGTCTTCACAGAGGATTTAAGAAGGCAGAAAATGTTGAGGTTGGAGTGGGAAGCAGAGGAAGAACTCAGGAAAGTAAAAGAAAAAGAAGAATGGATGCAACTGGACTATTACCGAAGGCATAATCCGAAAACAAGTGAAGATTTTGAACTTCTTTACAATGCACTGGAACGTAAGTTTGACATAGGTTTTTGCATAAAATATTAACTTTTAAAAATTGTCATGACTAGGACAACAGTTTACTGAAGACACGAAGAAGACTATTATCTTAGGAAGGTGATTTGGGAATCAGGGCTGGAGAATTTAGAAAGATGAATGTTGTCTTATATTTAGGATGGAAATAAAGGCTGCAGTGAAATTGAAAATGCTATTAACAGTGAAGAAATGTGCCCACTGCTGTATGGATCATGCAGCTTTACTATTTTATTTCATCTGCTTCTCCTCCATGTGAGATAAAGAGAGAAAATACGTCTCTCTTGGCTTTTTTATGTTTTTGGCAATTGGTCAACCCAGAGACAAACTGTTGAATACCTCAGTCCAGCAACCTGTCGGTTGTGCTCTTCAGAGGAAGAAGTTGGCAATACCTTTTTAATCTGCCAGTAATAATAATATCAGTAATACTTTATACATTATTTCTTCTAAATCTCTGTGTTGGTCAATGATAAAGTAAAGGTCTCTGTTGCTTGAACGCATCAAGAACCCTTTCCTCAGGGCAATGGCGCACCACTTCCCTTCTTGGGGCCTTGTCTCCCGTGCCCGCTTTCCAGTCTCAGGGTAAATGCCACCTGCCTGAAGGACTTCGTGTTGGCAGCCTATCTTGGATATTCTGTCGTCACCTCATGGCACCCTTTGCACCCCAATGTGTTCATTTATAGCATCACAGTTTATAATAAAACCTCTTTTGTTTAACATTTATTTCTGTCACTGGATTACAAGCTCCAGGGGTATAATTCTTTTATTCTTGACAGTCTCTCTTCATTGCTTGGCTCATGTACCTAACAAATACTGGTAAAATGAGTGACTTGAGGGAGACAGGAGGGAGAGAAGAGTCAGTAAGCAGTTGTTTCCCCTGAATCACCAGAAGCACCTGCTGAAGTGGAAATGACTGAAGTAAGGAGCGATGTTAGGTGTCTGAGCGTGAAAACCCTGGACTCTTGTGAAGATGTAGGATTTTTAAAAATTTCAGATAGCCTCATTTTTTTAGTTGAGCAGGGTCTTATTGTCCAAGGAAAAAAATCTTTAATCTCTCTCTGATTATTCAAAACTTGAACTGTATTTTCTTATATAGTTTTGTTTCTTCACATACTATTTTTTTGTGAGTGCTATGTGTTCTGTTCATTCAGGTCATGATTTCCTCTCTAATTGTATACATTTTTGCTTGTCAGATTTGGGGTCTATTTAAATAGCTATAAGATGATAACCTATCTTGGAGACAATACAATAAAACATTATAACCATTATTCACATATTAATCTGGTAATATACAGCATCAAGTGGCTTGAGGAATGTCTACCGTCATGTAGCCATGTTTGCGGTAGCTTGAAACTGTCTTCTTTTACTTGTACATCTGTTTTCCTGATTCATTTAATCACTTGCCTCTAGGAATACTGTTTGTTTTACTTTAAACTTCACTTCAATTTTATTTTTCCTGTCAAATGATAACAGTGGTCAAGTATCAGTAATTCAGTAGAGGGCGCTGCTAACCAGGTGTCTGTGAAAAGCCCTATGTACAAGTATAAAACTGACATTGTACTTCACTAGACAAGATTGTAGGAATTCAGCAATTGTTGTTATATTGCATATTGTTGCCTGCAGGTTAGTTGTTCAAACTGCCAGATATAGCATGCAAAGTTGGTCAAGAAAAAATTTAAGCTTTAACTGTTCCTTTCAATAAGAAAACAGACATCAGCAGCACAATTATCCCAGCTATCCTTGTATTTACATATATATTTTTCCCTTCTTTCTTTCTTTTCTCCTTTCCCTCATCCCAGTTGTTCCTTCCCTTTGAGCAATTTCTTTCCCTTTCACAATTTTAATGTTTTTTACAATTACTTTTTATTTTCTTTAATTGTTTGATCAATCTTGCATTCTCACATCTGGTAATCTGAGCAGCTTTGTTGACAGTAACAATATGTAGTATAAGAACCATTGTTAATTTCCTGTCACCTTATTTTGAAACCCTGTATTGTTTTTATTGTTTTTGTGTTATTTTGCTTTTGTCTTTGTGATTATTGTTTTGTTATTTTTTTCTCTTTAAAATAAAATTCAAAAAATTAACATTGTGCTGGGGCAGAGCCCAATGAAAATCACATCCCAGATTCATATCTAAGTTAACTACAGGATATAATTGTTATTTTTCTGTTGTTAACAAGCAACAATGTAAAAAAAAAATGCTGAGTGAAACTCTGCCTTTTCCATGTATTAGTGGTCTTACCTAGAACAGGTCACCTACTTCTTCTAAACCACACTTTCTTTATCTATAAAAAGGACACAATAATTTCTAGTACATCTTTTTCATGTAGCTTAATAAAGTAAAAAGAACCCAAAATATTACATTTATGAAAGTACTTAAAAAGTACCAAGATCTACGCATGTGTGAGTTACTTTATGTGGTGTCTTAGTTATTTTCTTATTGCTGGGACAAAATACCTGACACCTAGAAGCTAAAGGAGGAGAGGTTTATTTTAGCTCAGTTTGTAGAGGTTTCAGTCTTTGGTTGTTGGTTCCAAGGCAGAATGACATAGCCAGAGGGGTATCATCCTGCCTTGGATGAAGTTTCTAAGTGCCCCATCTCCTAAAGAAAGCCTGAAATAATTCATGCTGTTGTGTTTATTCTAACCAGTGGGTAACCTGTTCCAGGACAAGCAGTTTATGGTGTGACAAGCAGAGACCCTTCCTTCTTCTTTTCCTTTTTGTTCCACCCAGGCTACAAGCCTATTGGTTGGTGGCACCCACACTAAGGGTGGGTCTTCTCTCTTCTGTAAGTGCATCATCCACATCCAGAACTATGCTAAACCAGTCCGTGGAGTGATCTAGTATCACACACCCATGATATGGCCACCTCCCAAGTCCCACCCATGAGCACATAAGTCTTTGGTGGGACATCTAGATATAAGGCATAACATATGTTAAATAATTTTACACAAAATTTCTGTATTGAAGTAGAACACACGTTTTATATGTCTAAAAATTTTGTATGGAACAAAAAAATTGAAGTTTCTTGTGTAAGGAGATCTTCCAGGTTTTTCCAACTCTAAAGTTATAAATAAAAACACTTAGAATAACTATTTTAAAATTCTATCCAGCGTAGTTTAAATCTGGTTCACATGCTTGTAATTTAAATTGCCCTGTGAGTGTGGATTTTGTAAGTACGATGCTTGGAACTGCTACCCTCTTGTGGCGTATAGTGACAATTACATAGTCTGAAATTAGAATTCGTGAGATGTACATTTTCCTCTGGACAGCTAGTGCTTCAGCCCTAAAAGAAAAATGATATCAATTTAAGAAAATAAATACAACCGTGTAAGATATATCAAAGACAAGGCTATCTCCAGCTAACATTTGATTTTATGACTTTTTCTTATAGCAGTATATCGAGAGTGACACTTTCAACTAGTATGAATTGTCACCAGGACTGGAAGTTGAAGAAAACAGATTCTAAGTGCCCCATCTCCTAAAGAAAGCCTGAAATAATTCATGCTGTTGTGTTTATTCTAAGTTCTTATTATATAAGTGGAATTATTCAGAATTTTTTGTGTCTAGCTTTTAAGATTCAATATTATGTCATGAGACTCATCCATGTTATTGGGTTAGTTCAGACAGTATACCACTGCATGAACACACCACGATTTATTTACCTATTTTACTGTGTGGATTTCTCCTGCCTACCCCACCTCCAGTTTTTTCAAGTAACAAGTAGTGCTGTTACAAATGTCTTTTGGTGGAGATATGTGTACATTTCTCTTAGGTGTAAATCGAGGTTTCGAATTTCTGGTACAGAGGATATAGGTATTGTCAGCTTCAGAGGATCCTGCTCGATCCTTTTCCAGAGATTGTACCAGTTTACATTCCTACAGGAGAGAGTGAAAGTTTAGCTGCTTCATCATCCCCTCCAACTTCTGTCTCTTTCATGGTCGTTTCTGAAGAGTGTGCAGTACTATTCCCCTGCCTTATCTTTTACTGAAATTCCAGCAAAAAATACTTTGAAGTTTAAAAAAAAGTGAAATAAACATTTTCCATCTCTTATATTAAAAAAGGAATTAGTATTTCTTCCTATAACATTTGGGATTCCCCAACTGAAACCATGTAGGCCTGGAGTTCTCTTTGTGGGAAAAATTTTAAACTATAACTTCAAAGTCTTTAATAAGGATAGTGCTGTTCATGTTATGTACTTCTCCTGTGGTGAACTTTGACCAAGTTTATGTATGTATTAAGGAATTTGTGCTTTTACTTAAGTTGTTGAATTTATTAGCATAAAGATATCAACAATATTTCATATCCTTTTGATACTTCTAGGATCTACAGTAATATTATCTAAATTCCTAGTTCTAGTAATTTTGTTTTTTTTCTCTTTTTTTTTTCTAATCAATTTGGCTAAGGATTTATCGATTTTTCTCTTTTATGTTTTCTTAATTTCTATCTTTATTTCCTTTATTATTGCTTCCTTTGTTCTACTTACTTTTGGTTCAATTTACTCTTCCTTTTGTAGTCATATGGTGAAAGCTAAGATCATTGGTCTGAGACTAAGATTTTTTTTCCTTTCCTAACACAGGTGTTTGGTGCTGAAAATTTCCCCCCAGTGTGGCATCAATTGCATCACAAAACTTTTATATGTTGAGCTTTAATTTCTTTTCAGTTCAAAAATACTTTCTGATTACCCTTTTTTGACCCATGGATTATTTTGAAGTATGTTATTTAATTTCTAAATATGTGGGAGTTTTTCAGAGATCTTTCTGTTAGTGATTCCTAACTTTATTGTGGAGAGAGAATGTAATTCTAGATGACTTGCATTCTTTTAAGTTTATTGAGACTTACCAATCAGTATATAGGTTATATTGAAAACTGTTCTGTCTACACTTGAAAAGAATTTACATTCTTTATTTGAGAGGATTAGTTGATAAATTTCAGTTAGGTCAAGCTGGTTAATAGTGTTGGTCAAGTCTATATATTTGC